GCCCTATTCATCCGCCATCCAGATCGGTATTTTGTCATCTCAGGGGCGTCACATGTTCAGGTAGCGTGCTTGGGGGAGGAAACGACACCCACGCACGCACGAACACCCGAAGGTAACGGTACAAGTTGACGAAGATACGACAGACAGCGCCTGCTGGGTACGTTGAGTATCAGGACAGAGATGGTTGCTGCATCAGAGGATTGAGCATGAATACGTCGAATCGATGTGATAGGATACCGATAATAAGTGGCCATTAAAAAACAATACAAGTGCCATGAACAAAGAAGAGTGAGCGTATTACTAGGGCTACAAGCAGAAGTGTCGGAAACCCGTTGAAGCCAACCGTGGTGGTGAAGATACTGTGTTGATTTATACACGCGCACCCTTACATACGCCGATTGGTCTATAAAAATATAGGTCTAGCCCTATGTGCCCAAAGGCGTGGAAAGGGGTCCTTAGCTTTTACTTTCACTTACCCTCACAAACGCAAATGCCCGCGCTGTTGATTTATTATGGCATTGTAAACCCTGGAGCACATCTCTCACTTGATTTTAGTGAATAGAAACAACCAAACAAACCGCACTTTAGATTATCTTGTTTTGTTTGGCCTGTCTCTTGCTGAGAACCCGATTTTGTGTCAGTAGCGATTGTTTAAACCCCCCCCCCCCACCTTATTGATCTCAGCTCAAAGTATCAGGTCGTTGTGGGGCAAATAGAGGGGTGGGGGCAGTTTAAGAACGCATGCTATTCTCTCCCCTGATTGCTAGCTTTTGTACTGAATGCCTAGTCTAGTGCTGCGTGGGTGTACACACAGATCGACAACAGTTGTGTTTTCGCGCAGTTGTTTTGTGTGTCTTCCAACCTGCTGCCCGCCATATATATTCATACACAGGACGACACTACTTGCACCAATACATTCACCCCCGCGCAATCAAGCAGACATCTGTGTCGCATACACAGCTCTTTTGTAAACACAAACATGGGCCCATATTTGCTTTAGGCGGCTGTTTGGTTTCAGAATTTCACCTTTAGGCTGCTGTTTGGTTTCAGCATTTCACCTTTAGGCTGCTGTTTGGTTTCAGCGTTTCGCCTTTAGGCTGCTGTTTGGTTTCAGCGTTTCGCCTTTAGGCTGCTGTTTGGTTTCAGCATTTCGCCTTTAGGCTGCTGTTTGGTTTCAGCATTTCACCTTTAGGCTGCTGTTTGGTTTCAGCGTTTCGCCTTTAGGCTGCTGTTTGGTTTCAGCATTTCGCCTTTAGGCTGCTGTTTGGTTTCAGCATTTCGCCTTTTATGCACGTGCGTAATAGCTGTGTGCATTGGTTTATTACCCACACCACAGCTGATGCATCTGTGAAGCCCAGGCTAAAATGGCCCATTAGCAGGGGCGCCGCAACTTCTCCGCCCCTACGAACATTTGTAAAGGGGCTTAGCGACCCCCTAACCATGTATTGAAAGTACCTGGTTAATTAGTTTAAAGATTCCATATTATGTGAAGTGTATTATTAAACGTATTTGCCATTCAGCACACACTAATTCTTTATGTTATTCTTATGTATTTAACAAGACCTAGATCCATTGATGACAGTCTCTTAGATAATTTGTAACGGAACTGAGCTCACGCTCCCTACCCCCCCCCCCCCCCCAACCCCCACCTAAGTTTTCTTTGTGTCAGTGATCCTGCTCATTAACCTAGTTTATTCTACTTAGACGATGGCATGACTTCTTGTAACGCCTTCTTCTACTCACATTCCATCCCTGCTCCTGGTGCAGGAACCGACAATAACAAGAACAGTTGTTGACACTTGCTTGATTTACAAACACTTTGAGAATGCTATTCTCTCCGCTGATTCCTAGAGTATGACTAAATGCCTAGTCGTTCTCAACCAGTCGCACGCAGCACATTAGGGCCAGTTGGACAGGACTAAACGCGATAAATCTCTTTCAGCAGTTTCGACAATAAAAACCTACCCACAATAGAATGTAGGATAAGAATGTGGGAAGCTCTGGCATGGACACAGGGATTTTGCTCGGTAGTGCAGCGTTGATCCTAACCTGTACAATTCATGGCAGCTGCACTAGCTGTGCGGCCTAAACTTCTCAGTCTTACGGACACTGTAAAAGCGACCACTACAGGTAATGGAGACTTACAGCTCTGAATCCAGCGTTTGTTAATATGAACATATACGCAAACATGTTTGCTGCTGGGCAGCTGTTGAAGCCGTTGAAAGGGCTGAGGAAAATACTTCCCCGGTTTGGATTGACAGCTAGAAGTCAAAGAAAATATAGTACATAGCTACGTGTCCTTTACACGACGCTGCAGAACCAACCCTAGCATTTGTCGGCTGTTTGGTCTTGCTAGGAAATTTACCGTTCAATAGTTTGCTACTAAACCGTTGGTTCTCGATACCCGTGTGGGAATCAGCGCCGAGCTGACTGCCATCAGATTGCTCGCACCTGGATCAAACCGGGTACCTCTTTAATCACAAGTGTGTTCACAACGCCTAAGCCTTAGAGGCTGACATATAATGCATATTTGAAAATTTAACAATGTAAAGTTATTGGTGCACCATAATTTCAAAGATTCATGTTTGTCTTCACCATTAAAAGGGTGATTGTTAGTTGTGTTTGGGTCTGGCTTCATGTCGCCTGCACAGTCCTGCAGCCCTACATCTCAGATTCTTCTTCACCTCCTCCCCCTCTTCATCCTCCTCCTCCTTCTTCTTCTTATGTGACGTCTGCTGCACTTTTTCAGCCCAAGACTTCTGATTTTAATAAATTCCTAATTAGTGGGCCTTTACGGGGGGGGGGGGGGGGGGGGGCAATAGAAAGATTCACAAATAGTACTCTTTAGGTCATTTCATTGCCATGCAGCTGAACAGGAAGTTCATTGCTTTCACCAGAGGTGATACACATTTCTGAACGCGCCCAAATTCTTGGTTTAGCTGCTCTTGTCCCATAGTCTAAATATTTTAACTCCTCACACTCAAACATTGATTAAAGTAACAACTTCTTAGTTTAGCTGCTCTTGTACCATGGTGTTATTTCAACTCCTCACACCCAAACATTGATTAAAGTAACAACTTCTTAGTTTAGCTGCTCTTGTACCATGGCGTTATTTCAAATCCTCACACCCAAACATTGATTAAAGTAACAACTTCTTAGTTTAGCTGCTCTTGTGCCATGGTGTTATTTCAACTCCTCACACCCAAACATTGATTAAAGTAACAACTTCTTAGTTTAGCTGCTCTTGTGCCATGGTGTTATTTCAACTCCTCATACCCAAACATTGATTAAAGTAACAACTTCTTAGTTTAGCTGCTCTTGTGCCATGGTGTTATTTCAACTCCTCATACCCAAACATTGATTAAATTAACAACTTCTTGGCTTAGCTGCTCTTGTGCCATAGTGTTATTTCAACTCCTCACACCCAAACATTGATTAAAGTAACAACTTCTTAGTTTAGCTGCTCATGTCCCATAGTCTAAATATTTTATCTCCTCACACCCAAACATTGATTAAAGTAACAACTTCTTAGTTTAGCTGCTCTTGTGCCATAGTCTAAATATTTTAACTCCTCACACCCAAACATTGATTAAAGTAACAACTTCTTAGAATAAGAGGAGTTGAAGTGAAAGCACATGATGTAACGATTGTGCACTCATTAGTTGTAGTAAGAGTCCAAACTACTGAATGTAAAATTGACCTTAAAAACCAAAACAGCCTAAAAAAAATGCTGGGGTTAGTCCTGCAACAATGTAAGGATACACAACTAACTAAGTAATATGCCACACACATATCTCAGATGATGATAGGCATCATATGCCATTACTCTAGTGGTGTGAGAATGATCCTTGTGTACATCTGTGTTCAGCTAATAGATTTCCAGTAGTAAGTTTTCGGCTTTGTTTTTCAGCCTGTGGGGACATGGACATCAGGAACAGTGTGAAGAATTTCCGTTTGCTGGAGAACTGTACAGTTATAGAAGGGTCTCTGCACATCTCTCTCATTGATTACGTGCCACAAGAGGAGTATGACAAGTACAGGTATTCTCACTTCTGTGTGTCTTGTTTGAGGTGTCACAACTTGAGACAGGTGTTAAAAGTACAGCTGTCCTCAGTTATGTGGTTTTAGGTTAGTAAGTACAGGGTGTCACAATTTGAGATAGGGGTGTATACAGGGTATCACTGTTATAAGGTATGGGGTGGGGGAGGGGCAAGGACAAGTAGAGGTATTTTTAGTTGTACGTGTGTCTTGTTTTGTGTGCAGATAGTACATAAGTTACAGAATTAGATGGGGTATACAAGATGTAATAACCTGAGAAATGATCATGAAAGATGTGATATTATGAGATAGAGGTGTGACGTGCAAATATTTTCAGTTCATTTTGTCATGTTTTGTGTGTAGTAAATGCAGTGTAGAAGGAGGCAAACTACTTTCTTTGGTCTAGTCATGAGAAGAAGAAAACTGAAGTACATTGTGATGGTAGGAAGATTGAAGGAGAGGCAGAGGGAGGCCAACATTGAAGATGCTGGAGAATTCCACATCATGGCAGGAAAGATCTTCTATGTCAGAGTTGATTTAAAGTACACGAGGCAAGCTTGTCGATAGACATGACTACCAATGCCACAAAACATGGGCTTTATGAAGAAGTACAGGGTGTGACTATGAGACTGGGGGAATGACATGTTCAGATATTCTTAGTTCTGCATGTCCTAGTCTGTGGTAAGTACGTCAAGGCATGAGATCACCTGTTGACAGTCCCAGGTTATTCCAGTTTGTTAATTGCTGTTTTTATTTGCCTTGCTTCAAAACCTGTATAAATATCTGCTCCTTCTTGTGTCTTTTATTCTCTGATGTAGCACAAGCTTAAAACCAGCTCAGGCCAAGTTCTCCTGTCTGTTTGCTGTCCTATAGCCCATTCTAGATTCTCTTCATCTTTTTTCACCTCATTCTCTGAGTCTCTTCTTCTTTTAAAAGTATGTCTTTATTGTTTTGACTCTTTTGGTTCCAATTAAAGGACATTCTAGTTGTATTATCAGGTTTTCTCAGTGTGTCTCCAATCTATTGCCAGAATCTTTTCCCTGACTCTTGATTCACTGGAATGTGTTTTGTTCTTTCCCAAGATCCACATTAGTCGCATATTATTTCCTCTATTCTGTGCAGACATCAGTTAACAAATGTCTGAATTTATTAGTAATCATTCTCCACATTTCAGTTCCATAGAGCTCTACTTTTTTTTTTTAACTTAAATATTGTAAGTTTAGTTATTGGTTTTAATTTTAGAGATTTCTTAGTGCTGTGAAAATTCTTCTTGTCTTATGTATGTAAAGTGTTATGTCTGCATACATCATTTGGTCTATGTATTCATATTTGTACAAATTGTTTTTGTTTTTAAATAAGTTCAGATAATCAGTCTGCAGTTTCACACAATAGTGTATTATTTACAGGTTGTTTTATATGTGTGTCAATCCAACATGCTGCCTTTAATTCTCTGACAGACAATATTTCCAAAACATCATGTAGTATGTGCATTTGGCTACTTAGTTGTCATAGTTGGGTTTGATATTTTACCTGGTTTCTTTCAAGCATATCTCTCTCTCTCTCTCTCTCTCTCTCTCTCTCTCTCTCTCTCTCTCTCTCTCTCTCTCTCTCTCTCTCTCTCTCTCTCTCTCTCTCTCTCTCTCTCTCTCTCTCTCTCTCTCTCTCTCTCTCTCTCTCTCTCTCTCTCTCCCTCCCTCCCTCCCTCCCTCCCTCCCTCCCTCCCTCCCTCCCTCCCTCCCTCCCTCCCTCCCACATTTTTGTCTCTTCATTTCACCCCTCTTGTCACCTCAGAATAGGGCATACCCGATTAGGCAACCACATATATATGAATTTTAAGTAAACTGCATTTGCAACGTGTGCATGTGAAAAGTTATCCCTGACAATAGAACACATACTCAAAGACTGCACCAAATACAACACATGAAGGCAAACCTTTTGACAAAAAAGAACAGCAGGATAATGTAAACTCTATGATCCCGTGAAGTTAAATTTGTATAGGAGACAAAAATTTATGACAGAGACTGCTTATTTCAGGCAAACGAAAAAAGACGACTCATTTCCTTCTCTCCAACTTGCCAGTCATTAATTCAGACTGTGTATTATTGAAACAACTTGACATTATCTAAAAAATATTTCTAGCAGCAAAATGCAAATACATCCCTCAGGCAGTGGACACAAATTGGAAACACAAGCTTGTAATCAAATTGAGCTTCCCTTACTCTGTGTAAATAAATCTGGCGTGGTGCACCGCAGAAAAGGAAATGAGACAGGAGACACAATTTTGTTACTAATGAGGGGAAACATATCATGAATGAAAACAGCATTGAAAATGTAGCTTTTTCACACAATACATAAAATATGTAAAGCTATTCCTGTAGCATAGAAGTGTTCAACTAAGTTGATGTAGGAACCAAAATACTGAAAATGGAGATCATTTTGGGTTTGAGATGTTAGGTCTTCACATATTATAGGGCATGAAATATTTGGTGGGAGGGCTAGCTGTAGAAATGATGTTCTGGAAACTTGATCTTGAGGATGCCTACAACAGAGCTGTACATATTTTGATGTCCACTGTTATACATAAGAGGCTTTTAACTGGCTGTTTAACTGGGTAGCAGTTGGTCATGTACACCTGTAAGGTTACTGTACCTCTGGGTAGCAGTTGGTCATGTACACCAGCAAGGTTACTGTACCTCTGGGTAGCAGTTGGTCATGTACACCTGTAAGGTTACTGTACCTCTGGGTAGCAGTTGGTCATGTACACCTGTAAGGTTACTGTACCTCTGGGTAGCAGTTGGTCATGTACACCTGTAAGGTTACTGTACCTCTGGGTAGCAGTTGGTCATGTACACCTGCAAGGTTACTGTACCTCTGGGTGCACAGGTTTCAGAGCTATGCAACATTAGCTTGCGGCTGCCACAATGATCTGCAATTTCACCAGTGCTGTTTTATACAATCAAGACTGCAGAACTTGAAGCACCTGGTGGAGGGAGGATATTGACATTTGCAGATGATATTCTTGAATAAAGGCAGAGGAGCAATAAGCAGCAGATAGTCCAAGATCTGTAGGCAACAGCGGACAAAGTGACAGGCTGGTGTACAGAAATGCGTGCTGTCATCAATCCAGAAAAGGCTTATGGTACTATCTGGACAATGGAGTTATTAGAGCTGATATTCCAAACCTCACAATAAGTAACAGAAACATTTGAAGGTAGACTGTAGTACCTCCGAATCCTCTTCAATAGGAGCCCGTCATTCAGGAACCACATGTAGGCAGGTGCAGCAAAATGCCAAAAATGGCGGAATGCACTGAAAATCATGGCAGCAATGGACATGGAGCAACAACAAAAATTATGTTCACAGTGTACCAGCACTTAGTTATTTCGGTGATGGATTGTGGACTGGGGCTGCTCATTGTATCGAAGAGTCTGCTTGTGAAGCTTGAACACATACAGAATAAAGCTGTATTAGTTATTTGGGATGTACAAGAGACACCCAAATTGTCTGTGTAGTTTGAGATTGGGGGTGTAGGCAGTCACAGCAGCTGTCCGCTAGCTTGAGAACCACATGTTGTGATTGTAACCAACTCATAAAGTGTGTTAAGATAGGTGGAGATAGTCATGCTGCATGCAGAGTTCCTGGGTAGTTAGCTTTCTTTGGATATTTTCTCAGTTGCATGCAGGAGTGTTGGGAAGTAAACAGTCTGTGAGATTGACTGGCTGTGCATTAGTGGGTGGTTAATTTATACAAGGCAAGCAAGATGTGGGACAGAGTGGTATAGCTAAGAGTGATCAGGAGATCTGGTCACTGCTCTAGAATCAGAAGAAAGGCAAGACAGACATATATGATCAAACTGCTAATAATACTATCAGACAACACAAAGGATAACCTGATTTGATGAGAACCCGACCAGTAACCACAAATATAGCCGACAGGGCAGAGAGCAGCAGTGTTTACTGGCTATTAGCTGAAATTGGTCACGGCTAATATTGAATACCATCAGAACTGGAACTCTTTGCTGGCTGCTGAAGATGAGGATGGAGCGCTTATGAAAATGTCCAGAATGCTGTGATGTCAATTCTTAACTCAACACTTTTTAATATATTTAACCAGTCTCTTGTATTTCTTTCAGTAGAAGCTGTTTTCTTCTTCTTCATTCTTTGCATTCACTTGCTGTAAACACCGGCAGAAAGTCCTGGTTGTTCATCCACTTCTGGACTTTAGACTTGTTCCAGAACTTGAGTGTTGTGTGCACACCCGTTTTTCAGATCTGACTTATTTGTTGATCTGACTGATTTGTATGCATACTGTTGGTTTCTTGCCTCTCAGGCAGATACATTCTGACTTTAAAGCAAACCCCCCCCCCCCCCCCCCCCCCCCCCCCCCCATTTAGGTGTCTCTTACAACGTGCTTTTTAGGCAAAGAAGTGAGTCTATTCTTGTTTTTCTGGAACCCCAGAACCCACATGAGGAACTCTGTGTTTTCCTGGAACCTTTGTCTTTGACTGCTGCTGTTTTCATAAAATACAACCTGTTCTTCTGTATTATGACATCTCTATGACCTTAGTTGAGCTTTCTAATTGCTTGTTTATAGTCAAGGTTTCTGGGCCATATATATAAATGTTAAGTATGCATCTAGAATTGCTGTGTGGTCTCGAGGCATGGTGTCCACCTCGAGTCCTGCGTTAAGGCCCCATTGAAGGCTTGGATTTTTTCATGTGGACTTCTGTAATTTCTTCTGGTCTCTGAGTAGTAAGATCGGATGCCCGTGTGTATTGTTGCGTACATAAAAAATTCATTGGCAGTTTGAAATCGAAAAGAGTAGCCTAACGGCACTACCGTTTGGAGTTGAAAATCTACCCAAAGTATTTCAGGGTCTGGTGCAGTGGAATTCGTGCAGTGCAATGAGATTCTTTTGCCATCTCACACGATCGCCATAATCATGGATCAGGTCAGTGTTTTTGTCTGGCCCCATCCATTTGGCCAAGCCAACAAGGTATTCATCTCTTTGCCTTCCTCTTGCTCTCTTTCCACCAGTTTTTGCCAGTTTTTTTTTTTTTTTTTTGGAGAGGGGGGGGGGGGGGGGGGGTTTTTAAAACCATGTTTTTGAGTTCATTCCTTCTCAAGACATATCCAAGAAACACTGATTGTCTACGTCTAATTATTCTAATAATTTTGTAATAATTCATTATAATTTACTATAAATGTTAACAGTGTACAGTATGTCAGATTTTGTTAATGTGAGAACATTTTTCTCCTTAGTTTTCCCTTGTTACGAGAAATCACTGGACACCTAATGATGTTTCGTGTGTTTGGTCTTCGGACTCTACGCAATCTGTTTCCTAACCTGACCGCTATCAGAGGCCAGTCAAAGTTCTTCAAAGATTTTGCTCTGGTGGCCTACGAGATGCGTGATCTTGAGGAACTAGGCTTGATGGGGTTGACGATGGTCAATGGCTTAGTGCGACTGACCAAAAATCATAGACTCTGTCACATCAGCACTATTGACTGGGCATCGCTAGCGCCAAGTGCAGATCCATCGAAACACTTATTTGTGGTAAGTTTTAATTCATTCTTATCTCAGACTGGTTGATTAATTACACATCTTCAAGAGGCTGTTAAACAGTACACATATTTGTGGTAGTTATGTATTGCTGACGCTAGATAATAGAGAGAAAGAAGCATCAACAAAATTCATAATCTATTTGAAATACCATTAATTACTGGCATTGTGAGGGCTAATAAACTGCAGTTTTGTTGGGAATGACATAACAGAGAACAAAACTGCATACACAAAAGAGTTGAATTGATTCATTCGTTCATAATTCTGTTTGGCCATTATATGTCACATAGGGCTCGCAGTCTATTCCTCAATTTCTTTCTGTCCTGTGCAATCAGTTTAGTATCATGGATGGAATCCAGTCTAGCAGCTTTCACCTCTCTCATCAACATTCGTCTTAGGGTTTCTCGTGGGTGTCCTAGCCTCTTTAAATTGGACTAGATAATGAGGCAGACTTGCAAACACTTTAGAGTTATCAACTGGAAATAGAAGGCCAGTCACAGTGATGAAACGAGACAAGTGATGTCTGCAGCATTGAACCTCGTGCACTTAGAATGCCGAATAAAACATGATGAATCCAGACGAGTGATATCTGTAGCAGTGAACCTCAACTAGGAATGCTGAAGAAAGCATGATGAATAGAGATGTATTATATATCTGCAGTAATGAACCTCAAGGATCAGGAATGCTAAAGAAAGTATGATGAATAGAGATGTGTGATATCTGCAGCAGTGAACCTCAAGGACCAGGAGTGCTGAAGAAAGTATGATGAATAGAGATGTGTGATATCTGCATCACTGAACCTCAAAGACCAGGAATGCTAAAGAAGAAGTATGACTCTGGGGCTGTCCTTGAAATTTTCCAGAATATTCAGGAAGGAAAGCATTAATGAAGGCAACTGGTCACCCTGCTTCATAAAATTGCTGCCTCCAAGTGTTTCTAGGTCGTCTGCCTGGATACTGGTCTTCAGTTTTTAGCACCGTATGTAATAAATGTGTGCACTGGTTTCAATTAGTTGAAGATTATGAAAGTTAATTGCATTCAAAAACAACAGATCCTAATGAAATTGATCAACATTATGTGGGATGAATTCAAGAAAGACAAAGAAACAAGAGAAATGTCTACACAGCTGCTGTCAACAGCTATAAGAAAAGGATGATGGGCAGTGTATTGTGTACATCAGGAAGAAAAGTGGACAGTAAATCACTGCACAGAAACTGAAGTGGGAAACAAGGACATGGAAGAGAAACCCTGTGACTGATATTGACGGAGGCCAAAGGTGCTGGACTAGATTCCATCCCTCTATTGAAAGTATTACACAGGATTGAATTGAAGGGGGGCTAGATCTTATTATCATATGATGGAATAATAGGAGGTTGATGAATTTTGTCTGTTATCTGAATGTGTGCTTCAACATTTCCACATTTAAATCAGTGGTTCTCCGCCTTCTCAATGCCCTGACCCTTTAATAGTTTTTTTTAGAAATCTTGTGGTGACCCCCATCCATAAAATTATTTTGGTTGCTACTTCATAACTTCAGTGAATATGTGTTTTCCAGTGGTCTTAGGCGACCCCTGTGAAGTGGTTGTTGAACTCCCAAAGGTGTCACAACACAGGGTGAGAACTGCTGATTCAGATGTTGTATGTGTGTACACATCAAAGACCAACAATCGATGTGTCCTCCTGTGGGTAATCATCTGTCTTGGCAAATTTGCTTTATGCATTAGTTGGATATCTTCTTTGTGTGCCATGTTCACATTGGTGAACATGGCTGACCACTTCTCTCTGCTGTTTGATATTTTGATTTCTCATGTGGGTTCCTGGGTCCCGAGGGGGCGGGGGGAAGGGTAGAGAATAGACCCACTATCTTCTAACAAGCCTGTCATAAAAGGTGACTAGTTAGGGTTTTGCTGAAAGTGTTGGGCTGAAAGGCGCATATATTGCAGCCTAGCTGTAAACTAAAAGACTACTTACTGCACCCTTTAAATTGTGATCCGAAAAGAAGTTATTTGGATAAAATAGGTGTTGCTTATACTATGATTTATTACCGAGTTTATATAATATTCTGACATGCATCTTTCATTGTCTCTCTCACCTGCCTGGTAGTTTCTTGCATGAAACTGATTTACTGTTTCCCTGTTTTATTGATTTGTCTCTTAATTTTTTTTCTGTTCCTTTATGAATTTGCTAAATAATCAGTGGGTCCATGTTTGTTTTTATACTCAAATTTTTTCCTTTAAAAAAAAGTTGCTCTGCCTCTGCTTCTTTAACATTTTCTTATTTATCTAGAATTGGCAACTGCACACAGATAAGCCAGTAAACAGATGTGCCTACAAAACTCAGGCCCTGGCAGAAAGCGAAAGTCCACATGGATGAACATCGAGGACTTTCTGCCTGAGCTTACAGCCGGTGAACAAAGAAGAAGAAGAAGAATACTGATGTAATCTTAGATGTTCCTGGTGAACTCTTAATATATTGTCTTATTAAAAGGACACCACACCCCCACCCCACCCTTTTTTTTTTTTTATAGAATAGTCGGCACTCAGTGGTCAACATTACCTGATGCCCATTTTAGTCTGGGTTGAGTAGAATATATTATTTTGATTACAGTATTTCAGACACTAAAAGAATATGTCTTTCCCTAAGTCTGTATTTGTTCATGATAGGATAACAGAGAAGAGCAGCTGTGTCCAGATTTTTGTCATGAAAGTTGCCCATCAACAACACACCAAGACATTTCCCGGAAACGATGCTGGTCACCAAAACCTCATGATTGCCAAAGAAACCTAGGTAACGTGCACCTTCAACAACGGGTGTCATTTTTGTATACATTTGTCTTCTTACAGCTCACTTGTTCTCCAAACTGTTTACGTTGGTGACACACTTTCACACTTTTCTGACAAACATAATTTTGTAAGACAGTAATTCCTTCTAGTAGCCTCAGAGTAGAGGTTGAACTAAAACCTTTAAGAGATGCAGACGTACATAAATTACTTTTGTGTGACACACTTTCACACTGCATCCGACACTAAAGTGTTGTGACACCGTTTGGAAATCTCTGCCTTAGACCAAGAGTGAAGATATTGGAAAGTTATGCCTTAGACCAAGAGTGAAGATATTGGAAAGCTTTGCCTTAGACCAAGAGTGAAGATATTGGAAAGCTTTGCCTTAGACCCAATGTGAAGATGTTGGAAAGCTTTGTCTTAGACCCAGGGTGAAGATGTTGGAAAGCTTTGCCTTAGACCAAGAGTGAAGATGTTGGAAAGCTTTGCTTTAGACCAAGGGTGATGTTGTTAGAAAGCTTTGCCTTAGACCAAGAGTGAAGATGTTGGAAAGCTTTGCCTTAGACCAAGAGTGAAGATGTTGGAAAGCTTTGCCTTAGACCCAGAGTGAAGATGTTGGAAAGCTTTGCCTTAGACCAAGAGTGAAGATGTTGGAAAGCTTTGCCTTAGACCCAGAGTGAAGATGTTGGAAAGCTTTGCTTTAGACCAAGAGTGAAGATGTTGGAAAGCTTTGCCTTAGACTAAGAGTGAAGATGTTGGAAAGCTTTGCCTTAGACCCAGAGTGAAGATGTTGGAAAGCTTTGCCTTAGACCAAGAGTGAAGATGTTGGAAAGCTTTGCCTTAGACTGAGGGTGAAGGTGTTGGAAAGCTTTGCCTTAGACCAAGGGTGAAGATGTTGGAAAGCTTTGTTTTCGACCAAGAGTGAAGGTGTTGGAAAGCTTTGCCTTAGACTGAGGGTGAAGGTGTTGGAAAGCTTTGCCTTAGGCTGAGGGTGAAGGGGTTGGAAAGCTTAGTATTATGACACACAAAAGCATCTGTATCAGAAATGTGAAACAGTACTATATACACAGACCTGTAGACAGATATGTCCAGCACCACACAACATGGTCAGTACGAAAAAGAAAGCTTGTCATTACTTGCTCGGTTATTGAATATATATTTTGTTTCCAAGGTGCTGAATTTACCTCATGATTTTTCCTATTATTCATTGCACACACACTCAACCACTGACTCATCTACTCAAAGGTCAACCACCCACTCACTCATTCACTCACCCATTCACTTTCTTGCTCACTCACACTTACTGTGGTATTCTTCTCGTGCAGTATGCAACTGTTCCAATGGGAGGCCATGTGCACCAGATGGTTCCTGTTGCCACGAGCTGTGTCTGGGAGGCTGTTCGGGTACCACAGCTGCCGATTGTTATGTCTGCACTCATGTTGTCTACAATAATGAGTGTCTGTCTCATTCGCCCTTCTCATAATTTATGGTATGTACGTTTGTATTGTTCTTTCTGTCAGATATTGTAATTTAGAACAATAATATTAACCAAGAGACAATGTATTGATCGGCACTCATAAGAAAGAAGTAGAAATATAGAAGGAACAAACTAGAACGACAATAAATAGCAAAGGGCTATAGTTCTGTGTGTTGGAATTGAACCTATCCACCTCGAGATGCTTTGTGCCGCCTCGCTATTGAGACAAAAATACTAAGAACGCAACTAACTAGGCTGCATCACCCCCCCCCCCCCCCCCCCCCCCCCCAAGGGTGTCCTCTCGTTTTCATGTCTAGTGGTACAGCTTGAAATCTACAACTATGGAATACGGACAGAATTCCTCTGAAAATGTTTTAAATGGCAACCATAGGTTACAGAAATTTATTGCTAGGCTCTCTTCAAACCAGGAACTGCAAATGGCATCGATACATTTTTACTTGACTTTCGTCCACGTATGCAGCATGTATATATGGGGCTCAGTCCTTTTCCTAGACCTTCCTCGCATCTAAAAATAACAGTCATGTTGCCTTTTTTCAGTATTACAGGGAAGACCTTTTTCTAGCTTGCATGAAATCACCTACCCCGCAAATATAACAAAAGTTAATCTGTACTGTTAGCCCACTTTCACAGTATCCCTACTGCTTGCGTTTAAACGCTGCGGGGATGAATTATTTAGTGTGTTCACACATCTGAGAGTTTTGCTTTTCCTACTGGTTGCATTATTTGATTGTTAAATACTTTGCTTGATTGATTTAATGGGTAAAAGTAACGTTGGTGTCCTCCCATGCCACGCCCCTATACCACACTAGCTCACTTCTATTGGTCTTTCCTGAACCTCGTACCTGGACACAAGGCTATAGTGAGTGTTCCGCAATGCCGCTGATATGCCTGTTGTATATTTTAGTACGCCAGCACTTTAACCACTCCAAAAACATGGAGAAATTGGGTAACTAATATCAACTCACTAAGAGAGACTCACTGCACACCCTGTGTATGTCACATGCATTCTCTTTCTTGAAATGAAAACGGGACCTTCCGTTTTCAAAATGGGGGATAGCAGCTGTGTTTATTTTCACGATGGCTGTCACTTCTCTCGGGATTAATTCTTTTTCGTAATCAGGG